AAAACATAACACAATATTTAACGAATGTATTCGCAAGAATTTTTTCACGCTTTAGGTGAGCCAGACAATCACCTTCTATGATTAAAGGATCATGACTTAAATGATTTCAATGTGTGTAAACAAGTTGTTTGGATGGCGAAATTCCTGACCAAATGAATTTAGTACTTACACGGGATAATTTTCCTAACAGCTTCCATTCTAAAGGACCACTATGATAAGATGATCAAACTAAACAACCAATAGCTATTCTATAAAATGGTTAATTGAATTTTAATACAAGTGATGGTGGTAGAAGGAATCAAAACTTCTTTTTGCCTACCTAGGGGAACATCTGTTGACTTATCAGCTGAAAGTCTTTAAAATTCTATAGTGTAGTCCTCGACTCTTCTCACAAGACTCATGTAGTCCACCCCTAATAGACTGGCTTATTTGGAAGCGATAAGCATATTGATTGATTGTTCGATAGAGTCGTACCTATCAAAAGGAAAAAGCTATATATATTTGTCGGGCAGAGAAGACAAGGCTATTGTAGCAGCTATGGAAATTCCTCTTGCCACAGAAGCCCAGTTGCCCAAGCGATGTATCCTATCCTCTATCCTAAGCATGATGGACAAGTAACCGTTCAACCTCAAGTGAAAGCTCAACAAATCCGAGAAGTAGGGCGAAGGGCTTTCTAATCTTTAACTGAAAGTAAGGCTTCAATAGTGATATCCTAGAAGCGGTAGCTTAGGGCTTCCCTTTAAAAACACCTTGGAGAGTAGGGGCGAGAGAAATTAAACCATACAATATCATACCAATGCAAATATCAAGGATGATACTTCATCCACGTTTCATCAATCTTTCAAACATGCAATATGCATTGTTATTGTAGAAAGAATTCAATCAATTTCAACTTCATTAAAGTCTGATGGACGTACACCTTTCACCAGTACTTGATGGTGATGGATACAAGGTTGTCCTAATCAAAGATAGTAAGGAGTAGCATAAAAAACATTCATTATATGAACACCTCTCAGCGAGCATCGATAAGTTGTCGCAAGCAATCAATCAAAGTGATTCCCTATTTATCATATCCTTGTCTACAGCTATGCTATCTGTATCACTGCTGCTAAGGTAAAGGTCGATCGCATCCTGATCCTGCCCATTCCTTTAGTTCGCTCTCAATGGAAATTTCTCATATAGTAAGACAAAGCCAATGAAAGCTTTCTTTTAAGTGCTAAGGTATGTACAGTCCAGAATCCGCCTCTTAGCCTACCGGCTTTCAAAAAGCACTTTTAGGTTGAGGTTTTGGATCAACTATCTTACTTTTTTTAAGACAAAAGTCTTCTTTATATACACAATTATCAGTTGAACTGCATTAACAGGACAACTGGATTGGCTGTTTTGACTTTGTGTCAAAACGGTTGGAAGATTACTATTCAACTACTATCATTCTAAGCCAATACAAAAGCTCTCAAGTACATAATTCTAAAATACACAAGCTCTAAAAAAGGTCATAACAGCAATAATAACTGCCAAAAAGTCTATATACTCTTAGGAGCACAGGGTTGGAGGTTTAAAATTGGAATTGGATAAAGTTGTCTTCTTCTTTGATAAGCGGAATTTGTTAACATCTAGTTCAAAGATTGAACTACTTTTTCTTCAAAAACAATTCCAGGGCCTTCCAATTCCATTTTACTAAACATAGTACAAAGGTAGTTGATTCTTCTGAACAACAAGAATCCGAAATACCTAGATCTTAAACAAATTAAAAAAAAACTTCATTACGAGGGAAAGTGCATCCAATTGATCAAAAATTGACTATTTTCATTAATACGCCAAGAGTAACAAAATCATCCACCATTCAAATTTTCAGTGGTAGCAGACAGATTGCAGCACAGACTAAAATCAAGAACAAGACTCTTACAATCAAATAAGAAACTAAAATAACTAAAGTGTCAATCAAGGGGCATAAATTGCAATATAAATTCAAGGGCTGTAGCGGAAAACTCGGTAAAATCAAACACTACGACTTCAACATGTGCACGTAAGGCTAAGATAGGTCAACATCCACAATCAAATTGATAAAAACACAGAAAATACAGCAATTAAGTATCACCCTTTGTTTGGTTGCACGGAAAATAAAAGAAAGTTGTGGATCTTACATTTTCTGACGAACCAAACTGAGGTGAATCAAGCTTAATTAGGGAATGAGGGGAGGAACTCCAAATACCTTGGAAGGGTCTACTTTGGGGAAGCTCTTGACAACGTCGAGGACTCTATCGATGACTTCTTTTTTGTCTAGGTGATCGTCACCGTGAGATGACATTGATCGGACGGTGCTGCATAAGCGCAGCTTCGATCCGTTTAGGGTTAGGATTTGAGACACTGGAACCCGAATGTGGCGTAGCATTGCTGTTCTCAGTGCAGAGGCCATCTCTCTCTCTCGCCGCTCTCCTTCTCTCTACCTGGGAGTCGTAGTTTCGTCGGACCGAGGAGGACACATTTGGTACTTGATGAATTGATTCTTGGTAGAATTACACTTTGTACCCCCGAAAGATTTTAGATTCTCAAAGATTATTATACTTTTAATGTATTTTCGTATCTTTTGCACATGATACATTGTTAGTACATAAAAATTAATAAAACATATTAAATATATGTGTGTTTGAATTAAATATGATCTTAAATTTATCAAATTTAATTTTTCATTACTCATATTATATTATAAGATTATAAAAACTTTGTATGTTCACAAATTTTTTTGTTCTAACTATAAAAAAATAGTTAAAGTTCTATTATTTTTTAGAATTTTGTGTTTGAGATTGATTTTTAGTGATATTTCAGAAATTAAATTTTTTTGAAAATTATTTAATTAGAATTTCACTTATAATTCTTTAAATAAAATGGAGTGTATATATAATGAGTTGTGTGTATATGTATGTAATGAGTGTGTGTATAGTTGGAGTGTGTATATAATAAGTATGTGTATGTATATGCAATGCCTGTGTGTTGGAGTTGGAGTGTGTGTTGTGGAGTGTGTGTTGAGTTTGTGAATTTTGGGAGGGAAAGGGTATGAAATTTGGAGAGAAAATATACCCCCACGAGTTCAAAAACCTAATTATCTTATTATATAGACATACTATAAATTATTTATATCTGAAGACATTATATAACTTTTTTTTTTAAAAAAAAAAGCATTAGTCTAAGTCTCATCCAGCTTGGTGTATATTAGTTAACGGTCATCTGATGAGAAATGCAATATAAGATCCAAGAGTAACCTATTCACCTTAATTTTATTGTTTCTTACAATTCTTTACCACAAATTCACCACCTATATACAACACTTAGGTCAAAAATAATTGGTGTAACAAACAAAAATCCGATAGTTGATATAAACCAACTATTATTTCAAAAAAAAAAATTGACAAAGCTTCCTTTACAAATATGATCCCTAACCAATATTTGATGAGTCTATATTTAATTGGGTCAGGTCCAATAAATCAAGCAAGCTCAAGTCAACTCCAGCCTGGTTTATCAATTCGACCCAATTCAAGACCCAAGAAGCCCATGAAGATAAGAACACATGGGGGGAGGGATTGTCGGGATACACACCCAATCCCACCTTAATTGTACTTACCTTTTAGAACTATCCTCCTCAAAGAAGTAATACCCTCACACTCGCCTCAACTCATCACTATGCCTATAAATTGTAAGTCTTCTCCACATGGAAAGGCATTTGGCGTACCTTGGTATCTTACCACATCTCTCTACACACACACATAGCTTCCCTCTTCTAACTATTGTATCCCTCCCGGAACTATTCTCTCCTGAAGTCTTATCTCTCTTACTTTATTCATCAATAAAGACCTCTAACTACTACTGTCGTTTTTCCGAGAGTGAGATAGGTCACCCAGACCAAGTCACTATATATCTATGAGTTTCCTTATATTTATTGTTTTACAATTGGTTACCTTATGATAGTCCATTAATTACAACTCTTCACATATTCTACTGTTTATCTTGCACGAAACCAATTTTGTGTATCATCAATATTAATTTGTGTGTACAACATGCATTGTATGTGAAAATTTTTGTTGAAACATTTGATAAAAATACATAAAAAAAAAAATCCAATTAGATAGCCACATTAGATATTATCTCATATGTGGCATACTTAAATTATTTGTATTCTTTTCATAACTATAAACATCTAATAGATTCATTTTTTGTGATTCTTTCATTGGAGCTACCAAGTAGTAAGGGTTATAAATTTTTCTTTTCTCGATTTTTTTTCTTTTTGTCTTTCTTATTTTTACTTTGTGCATCAATAAGTTTTTACCAAATTATTTTGATTGTAAGATAAATATATCTGTTTTTGGGCATTAGAAAAAATATTATATTAATAGAATTGTCAATGTGTATTACTATTGCGGTTTTGAGAAAAATGAATAATATTGCTTTTATATATCATGTTAAGCATAACATGACCATTCAAAAATTTTACAAAGATAGAGAGATTTGCATGATATATTAGAGATTAGTTTGTTATTTAAATATATAGGAATATAATGATAATTTACATATTTAAATACAAAATGACATATTATCCTTTATAGTTTTTTTATAAGGGTAAAATTGTGAATCAAAAATTTTTCATATATAGGGTAAAACACTACTTTGCATAATCTCTTCACGTCAAGTTAGTACTAGTATTTATCAACTATTGCAATATGATATTCAAAGCAACTGAATATGAATCCCAATGGAGCATAAACCTTAATAAATAGAAAAACTCGTGCTTGAAGGCACTTGTTAAATAAAACTCACCAATTAAATCACTATTTTTCCATTGAATGACATCATGCCTTTAACATCCAAGGCATGCATTCAAGATTCTTAACCATTCACATGCACGAATAAGCAAATATTTAGTGAAAAATTGTAGTTATATCAATGCATCTCACCAAAAAGCAATAAGCCAAGCACAACATTAAAGAAAATTGCTGAGAACTACAATATTCACAAACTACTCAATTTGTTTTCACTAGTAGCCATCACAAAGAAGTACTTGTTCTCTTTTTTTTTTTTTTTTTGGCAATTTAGAACTACGTGCATAGAAAAAGATAATTCAAAATTTTCATGAAAGTTTTGAACAAATACCATAACAAATATCAGGTAAAACTCACTATATAATTCTAGCAGAGCCAACAAAACCCAAAGCCATAGCCAAATTTAAATTGTTTTTGGAATTCATTGATATGAATAAATGTTTAGTATTAGGGCTTGTAGACCCAATGGACTTCACCTGTAACATATATCTAGCATTAATTTGAAAGATCAAATAAAAATTGAACAAAGTAGTTCCTCTTCTCGTGCAAACTTTAAGACCATAGAAAAACATTTGAAAGACAATAATCTTTAAAAATGAACTCTCTGTTGTCATAAAGAAATTATAGAAACTGCTTAGAAAAATGATGACGCCTTCTAATTCTGTGGTGATAAAAATTGCATAAGTCCCGAATTCAAGAAAAAAATGAATTGCAAAACTTGCAAACTTGAGACAACAAAAGAAAAAATTAGAATGAATTATAGTATTATAGTGAAACTCAAACCAGTATTCGCAAAAATCCAAAACTCAATCAAAATTTAAGCAAGATAGTGTTTGCCAAAATGTATATATATATATTGAGAAGTTAATAGCTGACTTCGGCGGTTGGGTGTGTGCGTTGGTAGGTGTAGGTAAAGACTGAGAGGGAGGTGTGTGTGTGTGTGAGAGAGAGAGAGAGTGTGCATATGGGTGTCAATTTTTGACACGATACGATAACTCGATACAAAACATGATATGAATAAATGAGTTTGAGTTGACTAATTTTTTGACACGACCCGCGTATGACACGATCCGTCAACACGAAATGTTAATGGGTTGTGTTCGGGTTCAACCCGTTTAACACGAATTGACCCGTCAACACGAAATTTTTAATTCGAAAGAGTTTGACCTAACATTTCCGTTGCATGTATGAGTTTTCATGACTTGTTTTTTCTATTACTTTTGATGTTTAATTTGGTTGTATGATGTACGATTAACATATTTAATTAGTATTATATAAATAAAATATTAATTATTTGTAACTGTTTATCAAACATTGACATAATTATTGTATAAAAAAAATACTATTACTTATTATTGTTGTTATTATTATTATTAAGTTAATTTTTAATTTATAGAAAACGTACGATGAGAGATTCAATTAAGTAAAAATAAAATCTTAGTGTTAAATTTTTTATTCAAAATTTATGTAGGTTAACACGAATATGAACACGAACACGACACGAAAATAAACAGATCAACTAGACACGACACAAATAGTTAAATGGGTTGGGTATGAGTTGACTAATGTTCAACACGACTAATATTCGACACGACACAAACCCGACACAACACAACTCGATTGCCACCCCTAGCGACAGAGAGAAAGGGAGAGAGGTATCGAGGAAGGGAAAGAGAGAGAGAGGTGTTGGGTGAGGTATCGGATAGTATAAGATATGAAGAGATAATTAAATGAGAGATAAGAGTCTTAGAGTTAGAAAGAGAGAAGTGTATCAGTTAGTGTGAGATGAGGATAGAGAGTTAGACGAGAGATAGGAATCTTAAAAAAATTTCGTATGAGGACCGTTAGATCAATAATCTCTTCAAATGATCTGAACCACAAAAAACTCAAGATAAATAATTTAACTATTTTATTATATAGTTATATTGTTATTCTCCTTCACTCTTTCGAAAATCTTGCCGTTCTCTTGCTCTTTTACGAAAAAATGATTTTAATGAATAAGATAAAATCGATTTAACTTAATTACAACTTAATTTGAACAAACGTAAATGATTGATGAAGATAGATTCGGTTGGTTAAAAAAAAACTTCAATCGCTAAGAACACGTAATAGGAAAAAAAACACAATAAGAAATGTGAAGATTTTTTTTGGTTCGAAAAAACGTTAATGTCTGAAGAACACAAATAATAATAAGGGAAAATTTCATCAACACTCCCTCTAAATAGATCTATCTTCAACGACACCCATTGTCTTTTCTGAAATTTCATTGACCTCCCTTGTCAGTGTTGGTCGGCTAACAGACGTGACGGAAATAGACGTTTTACCATTTTACCCATAAATTTTATAAAGAATTACATATTCACTAATTATTTTTCATTAAACTATATATAAATATATATTCCTAATTCCAAGTGTTATGTGCAGTACTATTAAACTATATATAAATATTATATAGTTTAAGTGTACGGTGTCATCTATTTTTTTTTTAAAAAATGATTTGAATTTTTTTTTTTCTTGTATGATGTCACCAATTTTTTTTTAAAAAAATTAAAAAAAAAATTTTTGAATTTTTTTCCTTATATAATGTTTAAGCATACGATGCCACCGTTTTTTTTTTTAAAAAATTATTTTGAATTTTTTCCTTATATTATGTTTAAGAGTACGATGTCACTGATTTTTTTTTTTTTAAATTTCTAAAAAAATCATTTTAAATTTTTTCTTTGTATTATGTTTAAACATACGGTGTTACCGATTTTTTTTTAAAATTATTTTAAATTTTTTTCTTGTATTATATTTAAATATATGATGTTACCAATTTTTTTAATTTTTTTTAAAAATTATTTTAAATTTTTTCTTTATATTATGCTTAAGTGTATGGTGTCACTGATTTTTTTTTTACAGTGTCACCGATTCATAGTACTCAAATTTTTATATGAATTTTTTATATTATTCGTCACCGGATCATGCTAGGACCAGTGACTTGGATTCATTGCCACGTTTTTGTAGTTAGGTGATTGAGTTGTTGAGGCGTGTAAGAGAAAGAGAGAGAGGGATAAGGGTTTCATGTGAAATAAAAAGGGTAAAATTGATATTTCATAAAAAATTTGATATGACATCAACACTTTTCTGATTGTCAGTAACGGGCGATTATGATAAGAGGTGTTTTTGATTTAACAGTGTAAACCAGAAGGGAGTGCAGTGAAGATTCAGAATAGGGAATGGGTGTCTTAATAATAATTGCTGGTTCCAAGAAACAACAATGGCCGAATAACACACAAATTCCGACTGCTAGTTCGCAAAAACGTCAATGGCTGAATAATATGAAGTTCGCCTGTTAATGACAGAATCTTTGAGAATCAATTTTCAAAATTCAAACGATTTTTAAAATCAAAATTGTTTAAATATATCTTATTTAAGATTTACATATTGATAAAATAAAAAAAAAACTATCAATCTTTTACGTATGAAATAAGGTAAAGGTAATTAAGTAATAAAAAAAATTGTAATGTGTACTTAATGACCGAATATTTAAGCACAAGACAATTTATTGGCTTATAAGTCGAAATTGTGTACTTAAATTCAAATAAGTTTTATAAAATATACCCACAACCAAATTTCTTTATTTTTAATACATTTCAAATAAAATATGAAAAATTAAATATTTAAAGATACAAAATAGATGTTCTTAACTTTTTCAGGGTACTAAATATAATTCTCCCTTATTCTCAGACCGGCCATCCCCGTGGCTTTTCTACGGGTATAAGAAAGAATTCGGCTCAATGTCATTCCTTTTTCTTTTCTTTTGAGTAATGTTATATGGATTTAAAAAATAGACTTAATAATCACAATCATTTATTTTACTGTGGGACAAAGCATTTATTGGAATTTACTATCTATTCAATAATTATGATTATCAAGTCTACTTTTTAAGTCTAATTTTTAAGTCCATGTACCATTATTCATTTCTTTTTTCATTTTTTCTCTCTGAGTAGATATTTATTGTAATGGTTACAGCAACAATGTAAATCCTATTTTTTTTTATACGGGGGTGATTATTATATTACATTTGGAGCATACCCTAAAAAATACTAGGAAAGAAAATGATGGGCCTTGCTCAAATTATAAGCCCGGTCCGAGTTTATAGTCCATTTCCAAGAGATTCAGAAAGTCTAGTTCAATGCAGTCAACCAGGACAATCAATAATCAAAGAGCAACATCAGTAGGGAGTATGCAAGGTCATCAAAGAGTCTCCTCTACCACCTTGAAATAAGGGTCATTAAAGAGCCTCCTCTATCATCTTGGAGTAAGGATCATTCAAAAGCCTCATCTACGCCACCAAGGGAGCATCCAAGAGTCTCACCCTCGCTGCTTGGAGAGAGTCAATATTCCCTCATCTTTTGACCAAGTCTTTTGACGAGCATCATAACTTCCTTACCTGTTGAGGAGAGGAAAGGTCGTCAAACTATCTTTTATTTACTATTAAAGTCACCACAATCCATTATAACTATTAAACGGCCCCAACCTGTTATGACCGTCAGACTAGTTATTCAATTATTACACTAAGCCACTATTGTAAGCTCCACCAACACTTGGGGGGTATCAGACTCATTTAAGCACAATTCTCTCCTCCTCTCTCAAAGCTTGTAATCTTGTGCTTTCCCTCCACACTGGAGATAATAAAATTTCGGCGACCTTTGTCATTCAAAGTGTACGTAGGTCATATTGACCGAACTACTATAAACCTTATCTTCGCTCTCTCCTCTACTTTACTGTATTTTATATTACTTAATTGACAGGTGTTGTGTAAACCAATTTTGTGCATCATCAGTTTGGCATTGTTTGTGGGAACAACAAAATTCTCATGTAAACACTTTCTTTGCTGAATAAAAGGCAATCACTGCCGGGATCCATGAGTCAGCCTGAAGACATTCTATCACGAGAGGAAGAGGTTGCTTCTTCAACTACCAATCCCATTCCAAATGCACAATAGATGCTGGACACAATGTGGCAACTTATAGTCCAAAACTAGCAGATTCTGCAATTGATGCTCGTGCAACAAGGAGGAGCGCAACTTGGACCTCAGGCTAGGGGAGCTCCACTCCCAAGTCATCAAGGAGCTCTCCACCTCGGTGCTCCCCATCTAGGTGCCTCCTTGGGCATCCCACCTATAGGAGCTCCCTTAGGCGCCCCACACAAGGGGGCCTATAATGAGGGACCTCCTCCTCCAGCCCCTGCTCCTGCTCCCCATGGTGGAGACTCTCTTTTCCAAGAGGATGAGGGTGAAAATCAAAGCATAAAGCATGAGAGTCATGTCCATGATAATTTCAGATGACCTCCCCCCAATTATTAGGACGAAAAAATTAAGGAGGTGCAAAATCAATTAGGAGATGTCTTCAACGTCATGAAGGCACAAGGACCCGAGACAGTGGACTAACTTGTAAGTCGAACCGACACACCTTTCAAACCTGATGTGGCGAACTATCCACTCCCTCAAAATTTTAAGATGTCATCCATCAAACCCTTTGACGGTACGAAGGATCCACTAGACCACCTTGAAACTTTTAAGACCTTAATGCAGCGGCACAACGTCCCTGATAAAATTATGTGTAGGGCATTCCCAACTACCTTGAAGGGATCAGAGCGACAATGGTTCGTCTAACTTACTCCGGCTTCCATAGGTTCCTTCGTCGAACTGAGCAAATCCTTTGTGACACAGTTTATTGGTGAACGCCGCTAATAAAAACCTACCACCCATCTACTCTGCATAAAATAGGATCGAGATGAGAGTCTAAGGAGTTACCTCACTCGTTTTAACGAGGAGGTCCTCCAAATCAAGGAGCTCAATGACAAAGTCACCATGACTGCCTTTCTAGGAGGCCTCCACTCATCGAATTTCCTCTTTTCAGCAATGAAGCGACCACCAAAAAACATGCCAGAACTATTGGCAAAAGCTTAAAAATACATGAATGATGAGAAAATCAACAAGTCTAGGCGAGGTGAATCATCTCGAGGATCGCCAAAAGCTTGACTTGCCTCTACACTGTTCTCAAACAGATAGCCTATCTCCAGCTTAGTGGCTCTCTCGCGAGTCAACAAAAAGCTTGGTCTTTGCCCTATTCTCAAATAAGTAGTCTATATCCAACTGAGCGACTCTTCTGCGGGTTGTAAAAAACTTGACCTCTGCTCTATTCTTAAGCAGACAACCTATCTCCAGCTGAGCGGCTCTCTCGCAAGTCTCCAAAAGCTTGACATTTGCTCTGCTCTCATGCAAGCAGCTTATACCTCAAGCTTAAGGATTCTCTCATGGGTCGCCAAAAGTTCGGTCTCAAAAGGTTTAGCTCTCTCACAAGAAATCCTCAAACTCTGTCTTTACTCTCGCTCAAGCAGTCTACCTCTCTCTCCAGGTAATTATGTTAGATATTTTAATATTTGAAATAACATTCTTTTTGCCATCTCTAGCTAGGCTTTTGAAACTCAGGTCGTCTGCAATCCGAGGGACTACATTAAATTAATGTCAACAATCGGACTTCATTCTTTTGTGTCCATCTAGCACCGTTGTCTCGTTACCGCAACACCCTACGCTTAACATCTAGCGCAAACAAGCTTTACTTGCGTGTGCCTCCAAACAGCACTCCTCCATAGCGATTAACAAAATTGTCAGCCAACGGCACCTAGTACCATGGACTCATCTCCAGCAGCCCCCATCACCATAAAAGGCCTCTGCAGAGTGCCCAACACCATGGGCGTCTCTCCATCAGCACCCAACGCATAGGGCATCCCACCTGACACCATAGCGCCTCACAGTCAAGGCCCCATGCCGACACCCCTCATCTCAGTTCCTGTGACATGGGTCGTTATCTCAATTTTGACTTCCTCAACACCCAGCTCTTGCGCAAGGGCCCTCCATGAACTCCCATTTGACAAGACTGCCAAGGCACCCAGCCTGTTCTCCCAACATAGATCGTCGATGCAACAACCCCGCTCACCTGGCCTGCTTGCCTCTCCACAGCGCGCCAAGCTTGCACACTAGTGGCACCCGAGGCAAGCCCATACACCTGCACGCCTCCCTCTCTTGCCCAATTGGGCTCGCCACAGCCTGGGTGCCCAATGCCTCCTCCTTACACACTCCAGACGTGTGCACAGCAGGCCGTTCCCCTAAATCACTCCTCTCAGCTCTCTGATCTTCTTCTCCGGGAACAACAACAATCTCTTCAAAAATCCAAAAGGAAAGTGAAATAAGGAGTTTATACAGTCAATGGAGTCCTACAAGTAAAAAGAGTCTACTGGAAGAGATGGGGTCGCCGATCAAGAGGAGTTTTCCAAAAATTCGAATTTAAAAAGGGTTGTATGTTATTTTAACCGTAATTTTTGATCCAAAACTCTAAATGAAACTTATTATTTATCAAATCAAAACTCTTGGCAAGCCTCACAAAGTCACTGCCTGAGACAACGATAGACGCTGTAAAAAGTCTAAAAAAGGCCCAGAAAGAAGTGTTTTTGCCTCCCAAAATTTTTTAAAAAAAAAAAATTCAGCTCGCCCAGGAGGCTATCTACTCGCCCAAACCATGCACTCAGCCCCTGCATGCTATTTTGACCGTAACTCTTGATCCAAAATTCAAAATAGGATTTATTATATACCAAATTGAAATGTTCGACGAGCTGAGCAAAAAAAAAATCCAAAAAGGCCTAGAAAGAAATATTTTGGTCTTCTGAGGTTTTTTTTTAAAAAATAAATAAATAAAATTTTGCTCACCCAGAACAGTGCTGCTCGCTCATAACAGTGCCCTGCTCGCCTAAATTGCCTATCTAACTCTCTGTTCGAAGTTTTAATCGTAATTTTTGCTCCGTTACTTCAAATGAGGCTTATAATATATCAAATCAAAACTCTCGACGAGCTCTACAAGACTCACAACCTATGACTGTGATTGATGTTGTCAAAAGTTCAAAAAAAGCCTATAAATAGATGTTTTGGCCTCTCAAATTTTTTCCAATTGAACCGGTCAGTCAAAAATTTAAACTTAAACTGAATGTCCTTCTTTTTAAGTTCCGTTAGATATAAGACATTGGGGGACAAATGATGAGCCAAAGCCCAAGGGTCTAGCTTAAATTATAAGCCCGATTCAAGTTTATAGTCCATCTCCATGAGATCCAACAAGTCAAGCTCAATGCGATTAACCAAGACAATCAAGAATCAAAGAGCAACATCAGCATGGAGTATGCAAGGTCATCAAAAAGTCTCTTCTACCACCTTGGAGTAAAAGTCATCCAACAGTCTCCTCTACGCCACCAAGGGAGCATCTAGGTGCCTCACCCTCACCGCTTAGAGAGAGTCAATCTTCTTTCATCTTTTGATCAAGTCTTTTGGAGAGCATCATAACTCCCTTACCCGTTTAGGAGATGAGTGGTCGTCGAGCTATTTAATCATTGTTAAAGTCACTCCAATTTGTTATGACTATTAAACGGCCTCAACCCGTTATGACCGTCAAACTAGCTATTCAATTACTACACTAAGCTACTATAAATTGTAAACTCCACTAACACTTGGGGGCATCAGATTCATTTGAGCATAATTCTCTCATTCCCTCTCAAAACTTGTAATTTTGTGCTCTCCCTCCACACCGGAGATAATAAAATTTTTGCGACCTTTTCAATTCAAAATGGACATAGGTTATATTGACCGAATCACTACAAACCTTATCTTCTTTCTCTCTTTCTACTTTACTACATGGCAGAATTAGGGAATTAACATTGTGAATATGGCTGTTAGATGATTGGGGGGCTCGTGAGTAGCTTGAGCTCGGCTTGGACTCACTCATATTTTAAAATGAATCAAATCTAAACAAATTTTTAGACTCATTTAATATTCGATCCAATTGAGCCAAGCCTAGACTATTTGCAAACAGATTCGTTTTTCATCCTTGTACAAAATATACATATAAATTATTACAAATCTTAAGGTTATTTCAATAAAATTAGAAATAATTTTAAGTTTGTATGTGAGACATATAAATTTAAGATTGTATATGTTTATTTTGATTTAGAGGTATTTTTATGCTCAGATTTTTTGTGTGTATTTTTGTGAAATATTTTGATTGAGTATTTGAAATTTGTGGGTTTAATTTATTTTAATGTTATGTTTTTGGCTCGAATAAGGTTTGAGTTGATCTTGAACAATATATTTTGCTCCATAGACGAGCCCGAGTTGAGCTTAAGCACTCCTTAAATTGCATGAGACGAGCTTGAATATAGCTAAGTTCGAAAAATTCGGCTAAATTAACACCCCTAATTGTGAAATATAATTCTTTCAATTCTAAAACAATTCATCTACAATAGTCAAGAAAATCTTGAGTGTGTGAAGTTCAATTTTGTTTGAGAAAAAATAAAAAAATAAGTTTGTTCAACACAAGTTTATTTTATTTTAACGTATTAAACCAAACAAAAGTCGAGTTGTTTGGCCTATTTTCCAATTGCGGGTATACCAAAGCCTAACTAGACTCTAAACAATACGGTTTTACGTACTCGATTCGACATCATGATCTAAATCGTAATTGTTCAAATAAATTATTTTTTTCATACATTTGAGATCAATGACTTAAACTATTATTTTGAAAAAACAAGTACTCTTTAAGAAAAGTAGAATGGGACTTAAAAATCGTAATGGGCGTAAATAAATTAAACGGGTTTTATTGAATATTATCTATACTACTTTTAAATATCTACATTAAGAAAAACTTTTGATTACCTAATTTATTTTTAATTATTATTGTAAACTCAATTCTACCAATATATTTATTTTCATCAAAATTTTATTTTCTATACATATTGACTTTTAAATTCTTTTGGATTCAATTAAGTAGTTATCAGATTAGCTTTTATAGTCAAATATATATCATATTTAATTTTTTGATTTGCAACAATATCATAATATTATAATACAAACAATAGTTTACAATTTAATTAACCTCTTTGGCAAAAAAAAATAATAAATATTTAATATATTTAGATGTGCAAATAAATAATAATCTTACAATGAAATCTTATTATAAATAAAAGAGGAAATGTATAAAGTAGTTGGTTTAATAACTAAAATAATAATATATTAACTACTCAAAAATAGATAAAAAAAATCAATAAGTAAATTAAATATTAATTATTTGGAAAATAATTAATTATTTAATAAAATTATAAGTATAATTTTAATTTTTTATTAAAAATTTTTTATTTAAATATATTTACTTACAACGCACGTCATCTATCGCTCATATTAAAAGAAACAAAAAAAAAACCATTGCGATCACCGGTATGACAATAGAATTAAAAATAAAATTTAAAATAGTCTCTTTTTTTTTCTGTTTTAAAAGCGACTGCCAGTCACGTGCAACAACTCATAATAGTTTCCGTTGCACTGCCACTGCCACTGCCAGTGCAAGGAAATAGATCCGTTTCGCTTCGCCGAAGCTCCTCCTCTTCAAACCAATTCACGCGCAAACCCCCCCCCCCCCCCTCTTTCTCTCTCAAATTTACCTGCATACTGCAGAGAAACACGTACAGTTGGCAGATCAAGTCTCGCGCATCGACTTCTACGGCGAATCTGCGAGTGCATTCCGGCAAGATCTCGATCATTCTGAGTGAAAATTTTAGTCTGATCCGTTTCTCAAAATTGATCTGCTTGAATATTTGGATACATCCGATTGATGGCTCCGGTTTCGGCTCTTGCGAAGTACAAGCTAGTGTTCTTGGGGGATCAATCAGTAGGGAAGACAAGCATCATCACTCGATTCATGTACGATAAGTTCGACAACACATACCAGGTAATCACTAAACCAATCACCAGATTTTTACTGTTATATGTTTACTTGTTCTCTATGAATGGTGGCTACATGTATCGATTTGATTAATTCGGCCTCTTTGGTTGCGTTTTTGGATAATCGTTACGTTTCAATATTCAATTATTCTGATGATTTTGTTTGCTTCGTTAGAACATTTGGTATTAATTTTTCTTAGTTTTCTTTTTTATTATGGGCTTTTCATACAGCAATTTTTATAATGAGATCATCTGGATGTTAAGAGAATTGTGTGCGTTTTGTTGAAGAGGAAAAGCGAGAAAGAGAGGACAACGATTTTTTTCCATGTAGTTTGATGTTGTTGGAATGGCTTCTTTTCACTTGATTTTTCAATGTCTTTTTTATCCCTTCTTTCTCTTCGAACTTACTTGTGGTGAAAACAACCGGATCTCCTTGTGATGAATTTAAGTCAATTTGTACTGATAAATAAAAACAAGTCTATTTGCTTCACCTTTAAGTTGAAGAGGAGATTTAGCTCACAAGGTAAGGGTCGTTTGTGCTTCACCTTTAAGTCGAAGAGGAGATTTTCACAGAACTCCTTAACACTATTTGACATGACTGAAAAAATGTTTGTAATCCTGGTATAAACATTTTTTATAAATTTATAAACACAGTGCTTCATTCTCTATTCGTGCAATATTCCGCCTGCATTGGAAATTTGATTAGTTAATGGATTTTACTTCGGGTGTACTTCTACCTGTTTAAGTAGCCAATAAGAAAAGGTTTCATGTTATAAGCTGTGTAGTTGTGCATTTCTTTTTCGCTATTTTTTTGTGAAAGAGATCAAGGCAGCATCTCTTATTGACTACAATGAGCGTTAAAATACAGAATGTTACTTTAAATGACTTGGTTTTTCCCTTTTTAAATGATTGGAACTCACGTTTATTCTGTGAGACTATCAGTTCTGTTACGAAACAGCAATTGATTTTGGTTATTCTTTATGGTAAAAGAGAGAAAAAATTGAGAAAAGAGTTTTTTTGCCCTTCCCTTCCACCCGCAAAGTAGAATCTATGTGACATCTCGATACTTAACCTAAATTCACGAATTCATTCTGTCTTTTCCCCTTCATACAGAATTTTCTCTATCTTATGTGCATCTTAAATTTCAGGCTACAATTGGAATCGATTTTCTGTCAAAGACAATGTACCTTGAAGATCGAACAGTGCGTTTGCAGCTCTGGTAAGATGTGGTTTCGTATAAAAAAAAAAATTGACACTTAAATGCATGGATGCGTTCAAAAACTTTGCACTTCTGTTAGTACAATCCTGCATAGGTGTCCTAAGAATTGATCATAGATTTAGATTTGCCTAAGCCCAGTTGAGGTGCAATTCTGTACAGATTGACCCAGTAGTTATAAATTTTTTCCACATTTTGAATTATGCAATGTATCAGACACAGTGCTGTTCAAATAAACTACTCCATGAATTCAAATGTGCTTTACAGTAGCATCTCATTTTTGGCCATTTCCATGGTTCATTTTTTTTGACCTGTGTTCTTGTTGTTTTGTCATTACTACCCTTACTAGTGTTTCTTAAATTTATGCTCTGTTTGATGGAAGAAAGTGGGGGAGAAAGAAAGGAAAGGAAATGCACATCCTTTGTTTGGGAGTTTTCAAAAGGAAGGAAGAGAAAAGAAGTGTAAGGATTTGATGGTCCTTTGGCCGGCCACTTGTCCCCCTCCCCACCCCCACACCTCCAATCCAAGATTCGAGGGGAAAAGAAAGTGAGTTAATGATTACTAGTTTTGTCTTCCGGTTTCTATTAGAAATTATTTCATGATTTTTCTACTAACAACGTAAAACATCCTATTTTTTATCCTCTTTCCTTGTGAAGTTCTGAAGAAGGGGAAGGGTTATCACCTTCCTTTCTTTTCTATCATAAAACTTCCAATGAAGTGGAGGCTCTTCTCTTCTTTTCTTGTCTCTTCTCAAAAACTTCTCTCATTTCCTTTCTCTCCAGAACTCCTACATATATCAGTAGACTTTGTTCTTAGCTGTTCTAATACACCAAAAAAATTTCCTCCATCTGTCAGTTTCATCATTAGTTCACTTACTAATGTATTATACATCTAGGTCCTTACTCGGTATGTATTCGCAAATCTGATTCTAGTGAGATTGTGTTGATTCAGTGCTAGGCTGGTAGCGCAAAACCCTTTATGGACATGCGCATCGTTGCATTTAATTTTGTTTGGTTATACTTTTTCTTTCTGGTCTGTTAGAAAGCTTCCTGGTTTAAATAGTGGGAAGTTTTTTACCTGCTGCTTCTATCAATCATCATGCAAAAAAAAATATGGTTTTCCAAGGGCTTGATATGGATTTTGCTGTCGTCAACATTTATTTTGAGTGCGCAAGCTACTTTAACAGTGTCTTTACTTGTTTGGTGATAGAGAGAACAATATTGAATTTAAATTTTAATGTATATGAGGGTGAATCCTGTACTTTATTCCTTAATGACATAAACCTAATAAAATACTTGTTTGCATTAACCATGTATATTCACGTTCTGGTTATATTTCATTTTGTACTTGCTTTAATCCCACTGTGTTTGGTGTATTCAGGGATACTGCTGGACAAGAAAGGTTCAGGAGTCTCATCCCCAGCTATATCAGGGATTCCTCTGTTGCAGTCATTGTGTACGATGTTGCAAGTATGTATATTGTCCATTTCTTTATTCAGTTTGATTTGTTGACAAATCAAATCAAACCTATTTAATTTCATGTAGAGCCAAAGAAAGGGTGTTGGGGATTTCATATAGTCACATATGAATAAATGTGCCTAGTAATATGCTATGGGTTATTGCCAGCTTCGTAATTTTGGATTTTCTTTCTTTGATATGCCAAATTAGAATTTATTTGTCAAGGATCTTGCTTGCTCTTTGTCCTTCCTAGATATATCATCATAGATGTGATTTTTAAGATAATTTTACTAACTTACCGCGCCTTTTTGGAGTTTAGGCAGGCAATCATTCCTGAACACTTCCAAGTGGATTGAGGAGGTTCGCACTGAGCGAGGCAGTGATGTTATCATTGTCCTTGTTGGGAACAAAACTGATCTTGTGGACAAGAGGTAATGATTTTGGCCTTTTCTCGTCAAATATCTATCTATCTACCTTGATGACAGATAATAGTTGTCTCAAAATGCAGTTATTTTCGGCTTATTTTTTGGTTTTTTTTTAGGTTGGATGAATATGGCATGAGAGAATGATTGAAAGTCTTGATCTTAGTTAGTCCTAAATAAAGTTGTTTGAAGAAGATGGTAAGAGAGAGATTGGGGTGAGAAAATCTGTTGAGAAACCTTAATGTACTCGTATAGAAAGGGCAATTGTTTTTTATCGAATGATAAGGGATCCTTAAATTTCCACATTTCCAGGGTGGGGCAAGGCAATGCAGGGCTACTTAGCTCATGCGTGCTGCATCTTTTTGAAAGTTAAAGCAGCTTCCTAAAAGCAGTTTATCTGCAAAGCAATTGCCCAACCATCTTTCCAAAAGCATTGTTTTATGGCTTATCTAAGCTATTTTCAGCTCAAGTGAAGTGAAATAAGCTGTAACAAACATGTCGACACATCTTCTTCAAAGATAAAAGCCATATTTTCAGCAAACCTGTACTTACCATCATGCCGCCTCCTATCAAGTTGCATGTTTCTCAACTGGAGCTCTTGTTGCCCCTTCTGTATTTTGTTTGCCCCATCCCTCGAAACAGTGCAGGAGTGAGGCATTCCTAATTTTCCTTCTGATTAGCACAAGTGTACTAATATAGACTTTGAAGCTTAACCAATTAATGAGTTAACTGACTTGAGAGAGGAATATGGTGTATGGGTTAATCATAGCCACATAAGAAATGTATAATTCACAAACTAATCAAGCTAGCCTGAATAATTGATCAAATAATGTACAGATGATAAAGTAACTAGAGGAATTTAGAAAATAGCATGAAAGTAGAGCGGATGCTATGCTTCCTTTATTTTGTGGTTAGATTTTATGGGATCTCATTAGGACGGCAAGATTGGGTTATTCTTTTCATTCGTGAGTAAGAGTTTGAGGTTTATGTAGCAAATTGTAATTTTGATTCCCATGGTGATCTTGCTGGATAAGGCATGCACAAATTGGAACTTATTTTGTTTTCTGCAGAAGACCACCCACCTGTGGTAGAAGGTTAATTACTAGTCACCATGCATTCAAGGTGCAAAGAAATTAAATGTTATTGGATGAAAAATTGTTGGTTATCTATTCTTAGATTCTTACATAATACATGCAATCAATATTAGAACATGACTTGAAATGTTCATGTTGCTTCTACATAGGGTAAGCCTCGTTGTATTTAATTTTCGTCATTTTGTAGGCAAGTTTCGATAGAGGAAGGAGAAGCCAAAGCTCATGACTTAAACGTTATGTTCATTGAAACTAGTGCAAAGGCTGGCTTCAATATAAAGGTAAGCTATAATGTTCTTTTGTGATTTCCCCAGTTCTGAGATGTAGTTTTGGCTTGATAATGGAACAACAATATAAGCTAGTGTGGTGGGGCTCCATCCATCAATATGTCTCTCTCTCTCTCTAGGGTGTTGGTGGGTTCGGGTTAGGTGAGAGATGACGGGTCTGTTGAATGATATTTACCATGTGATCCATGTCACAATTAGGCATCATTGTCTATTTAGTGGTAACATACCTGAATTTGACAATGGCAAAGTTGTAGGTCTTTTTGTGCATATAAAGCCAAACATGAGGTCTTTATTCAGATATCCCACACTCCAGACTCCTGTGGTTGGGTCAAGTCTGAATTGCTCCCTGTTCTTTCTACTGCAGCAAATTTTCTTATGAACTTTTTAACATTGCTCAGATTGCTCCTTCTGGTACTGGCCTACCCTCAAATTTAACGGAAATTGACAATGTTATTGTTTGATGAGTGAAAAATAAAATGAATGTCAATTTACCCTTAGACAACCCACCACCACCTCCTCGTCCTCCTCCACCCGCCACTCAGAAATGCCACCACATTGTTGTTACCTCCTCTAATTTGGCTATGCATACTTTATGCACATATTCCCACACCCATGCACATACGTATGGAGACAGATATAGAGTGAGATCTTTAACAATCACGTTCCATGACAGCACCAGCTGCACCACTACCAACCCGATCTAAAGTTACAAACATTACACCCTTGTGTGCCCACATTAAAGGTGTGGGGGAACATGCCCTCGGCTAAATTTCTAACATTTGTCTGGTCTGTTGATTTTCATGGAATTCTAAACATATTTGGGTTATTCCCCTTTAGTATATACTATACAGTTATATTTTCCTCTTGTCTAAATTGGCCCTCCTTATTCAAAATTTGTACCCTGCTGCTCTTCACTGGTCATTGTAAGATCAGTGATTGTGTTTGTTAGTCACTATTCCTGTATAGTCAGATATTTTCATTATCAATTACATTGTACTATTGTCCTGAATTCAATAACAAGTAATCTTTGTAGGCATTATTCCGGAAGATTGCTGCAGCCTTGCCAGGAATGGAAACACTATCTTCGGCTAAGCAAGAAGACATGGTTGACGTCAATCTTAAGTCTAGCAATCCTAGTGGATCTCAGTCCCAACCAGCCTCAGGAGGATGTGCCTGTTGAATGGCCTTCATCGAGAACCTTTTTGCCTTCTTCGTTTTCTATCGTTCTCTGATCCTAAAATGTCTGTAAAGTTCTTCTTTCTCCTTGACAGCCTTAAATTTTTTCGGTGCGCTGGTTATAGAAGTTAAACTGAGATATAAGAGTAAGATCCATCATTATAGTCGGTACATTCCCTTTCCAGGTTATGTGAGATCTTAAAAACAAACAGTTTCCATTTAGCAGGCTTATTGATATATGCTGTGGTCTGTGATAACATTGCAAGAACTGAGGAAACCCTAGCAGTGAGTAGTGATCAATGGTTGGTATGACGTGTTTAATTGCCTTTTTTTTTTTAAAAAAAATTAAAATTTTGTAAGCTGTATGTTGTCAAAAGTTTTGCCTATAATGGAGTTGATGATAGATAATTTTACGTTCATTTGGAGAGATTAAACGTCAACCATATTTTGGACCAAAAAAAATGGATGTCTTAGAAATTTTGGGACAATACCAACTAATCATACTAAGTCTTATGTCTCAATCATTTGAGATCTGCTATATGAATCTGTCTTCGCTAACTTAAATCTTAAAACAATGTCAATTAAAATAATTTGGCTTGATAGAGAATGTCAATTAAAATGGATGTCTTAGAAATTTTGGGACAATACCAACTAATTACACTAGGTCTTATGTCTTAATCATTTGAGATCCGAACTAATTTAAATCTTGGAACAATGTTAATTAAAATAATTTGGCTTGATGGAGAATATCAATTAAAATGGATGTCTTAGAAATTTTGGGACAATACTAACTAATCAAACTAGGTCTTATGTCTCAATCATTTTAGACCCGCTATATGAATCTGTTTTCGCTAACTTAAATCTTGAAACAATGTCAATTAAAATAATTTGACTTGACGGAGAATATCAATTAAAATGGATGTCTTAGAAATTTTGGGACAATACCAACTAATCAAACTAAGTCTTATTGTCCCAATCATTTGAGATCTGCTATATGAATCTATCTTCGCTATCTTAAATCTTGAAACAATGTCAATTAAAATAATTTGGCTTGATGGAGAAGGTCAATTAAAATGGATGTCTTAGAAATTTTGGGACAATACCAACTAATCAAACTAAGTCTTATGTTTCAATCATTTGATATCCGCTATATGAATCTGTCTTCGCTAACTTAAATTTTGGACTAATGTCAATTAAAATAATTTGGCTTGATGGAGAAAGTATTGCCCACCACCACCACAGCCACGAGAAAATATTTAATATTACGGTGATAGTATTTCAGCATTGATGATATGATATTATTAATTAATAATAAAACTCTGAATGAACAAAATGAATTTTATTTGGGTAGTTATTGACTTATATGAATGGATATTTATTAATTTATATGAAATTTGTTTATTTATTCATTATTGATCGTTGATATTATATAGAAATATTGACGTGATATCAATAATATTTTTTCCACAGCCACGATACCAAAGCACTCAAAACGAGTGTTTTACAATATTTTAAATTGACAATGCAGAACACGAGGGTCATTGTTTTTATGTTGGATTCTCTCTCCCTCTCTCTCTCCCTCCCCACAAACAAAACCAAACCCAATTCATCCCACTTGAATTTGTTGTCATTTAAGCACAAAACAACAACTGAAGTATTCATTGCAGGAAAAATCTCATTTTGCCCAATGAAATATATAAAAATTCTCAATTTACTCTTCGAATAATTAATTTTTTTTCATATTTCTTAATTAAAGAAATAAAAATTATACAATGTGGTCCACCATCTTATTTTTGTTTGGCTGTCCATCTGTTTTGAGTTAAATCAATCAATTAGGATTCACAAAATAGACAGACAACCAAACAGACATAAGACGATTGATCACATTACAACGTTTTTATTTCTTTGAGGGACAATGCGAGAAAATTAATTATTTAGGGGATAAACTTAAAATTTTTGTATCTATCAGGGGCAAAATAAAATTTACCCTTCATTCTAATAAAGAAACCAATATAAAAATAATTTAATCTCATTTTTTTTTTGATAAAGTTGTCATTCATACGTAACAAATAAACTATAACAAAAAATTATGTAAAAGTTGTGAACAAAAACAAATTATAAAATAGTCGTGTAATACCACTATTTCAATGAAGAACATTTAAAACAAACAAATGGGAAGTACATACAAATATTAATGAAAAAATGGATTATAATCCTATCAAAATATTTTATGATTAGTAGTTATACTATCAATGAAAAATATGCTAGCATAATTTGGATAAAAATTTAATTAGTAATTTTGAATATCAAAAAATAAAAATAATAAACTTGAAATTTAAAAAAATTATAAAATTATTAAAAAATAAAAATCTCATTGACAAGTCTTATATCTACTTGAGCTGCCCCTGGTTGTTATTAATTGTAAAAATAAAAAAATTAATTAATAAAATAAAAAAATTTACGCACTTCACATTTTAATTGGGCATAAGCAAAAGTATAATATTGAAAAAATATTCAATACTATAATTGGACCCATCATAAAAAAATAAGGCTATGGTACTAAAAAAATTTGGTATCGTATTAAAATTCACTATTGTTAAGAGTCCAATGAAAAAATTATAACTGATTAAAATAATTCAAGATTGATCATGAAATATTATAATTGATCATGAATTATCTCAATTAATTAAAACTTTTTATTTACGACCTTTAACAAAAATAACTTGATTTTTTAAAAAAATTATATATTTTATGATCGATCATCACATTATTTTAAATTATACCTTACATTATCATATTAGAATTTTGATCCACATATAAATAAATATATATATATATATATATATTAACTTTTAAATATTATAATTTTTAGTGGTTTCTCATGCCTATATAATTTGGAGAGCTTCTTTCAAGTTTCAACCTTGGTCGCCAAAATGGCAGGTCTCTCTCTCTCTCTCTTTCTCTGCTGCATCTAAAGTCATGGTAAATTCATCAGGTTGTGAGTTTTACTCCCACAACAGGGCTCCAGATTATATTACTTGGCATTGACTATTTTTTTTTAAGCCTATATTTTGGTGAATTTTATGTAGAGGAGGACAAGGGAAAGGTTTCTATCAACAGACCAAACTAAAAGTGTTAGCTGCTTGGTGATATTTCATAGAGTTTTATTGAACACTCTCTGTTACTTCATTATTCATTGATTAGCAGTGGACATATGTTGTTAATCATAACTATGTTCCAATGACATATCTTGTCTTTCTGTTCATGTTTCTATGTCGTTGTAACTTCTTCTTTCAAAGTCGTAATTTTATCATAAAAAAAAGTAATTGGCAGTACCGGTACCAAATTGTAGAGTTTCCCTTATCTTGAATTCTTCATAAAATTAAAAACTCATTATTCCAGATGAATAATACTAGAGTTGTTTTTTGAATTTGGTCTATGTATTGTCCACCACTTGCAGATTGTGGAGAAGCAATATCTGCAAACGATGGGACGTGGACTAACAAGCAGCAACAGTTATTGGTAAAAGATGGAGGAGCATCAAATAATCAGCCACCATCAACCAAGTTTATCAACTGGCAGCAGTGCCTAATGATAGCTCTCAACATATTTTTCCTTCTTGTTGGTCAAGCTACTGCTGTTCTACTAGGCAGATCTTATTATAACCATGGTGGAAATAGTAAATGGATGGCTACCAGTACTCAAACAGCAGCTTTCCCTATCCTTTTAATCCCATATTTTCTTCTCCCATCCTCCTCCTCCAAAGACCCTTCATCTCTGTCTAACCCACAGTCTATCTGTACTGTTTCTTTTGTCTACATTGGTCTTGGTGTTCTTGTTGCAGGAGATAACTTGATGTATTCTGTTGGGCTTCTGTACCTCTCGGTCTCTACTTACTCCCTCGTTTGTGCTACTCAATTGGCCTTTAACGCAATTTTCTCTGTCGTTATTAATCATGATAAGTTTACTGCTTTGATTCTGAATTCTGTTGTTGTACTTTCATTATCTTCGTCTCTTATTGGCATCAATGATGATTCTGATGGGCCTTCAGGAGTCTCTAAGGCAAAATATATCATTGGATTTGTATGTTCCCTTGGAGCTTCTGCTCTGTATTCACTTGTACTATCCCTAATGCAGCTCTCATTCGACAAAGTTTTGAAAAAGGGAACTTTTTTTGTGGTTTTGGAAATGCAAATTTATACATCAGCTGTAGCTACTTGTGCATCTGTCGTTGGCCTTTTTGCGAGTGGGGAATGGAGGACCTTAGAGGGAGAAATGAATGTTTATGATACAGGCAAAGTTTCTTATGTGATGACTTTGGTGTGGACAGCTGTGGCCTGGCAAGTCTCCTCTTTGGGTGGAGTAGGCTTGATTTTTGTGGTGTCGTCTCTGTTTGCTAATGTTATCGCTACTCTATCCTTGGCTCTTATTCCTATTGCTGCTGTGATAGTCTTTCATGACCAGATGAATGGGGTAAAGATAATTGCTTTGCTAATGGCTCTTTGGGGTTTTGCATCTTATATGTATCAGAACTATCTTGATGATGTTGAGGCAAATAAGGAGCAAGCTGTTGTTGATGGTGCCACTGATGGTTCTTCTGATTGTTAATGCTTATCAATTCTGTCATTTTGTTGTAATAGATTCCTTTAACACTGTAATGTGATAACTTTTTTTCCTTTGATTGGTGTGTTGGAAGCATGCTGCAATATCTTTACTTGTTACTGTGTGTATTCTGAGATTTATATTAGTGAATATTCTTCTGGGAAATACACTAACCTTTAAAAAAATTTTGGGAAATCTGTGGAAAAGACAGAATAGGGAGAGGGAGGACGCTGTTGTCCTCTTCGCTGGAAACGATTGAAGATATCAATAGCTCCTGTTGTTCGATCTGCAAAAAATATTTGGGAAATCTGTTGCAGAGATATCCTTCGCCCTATCAAGTCAATCACAGTTCAGCAAAGCTTCGATTGCCCTATATAAACCCCTCCTGTTGTTCGATCGAAACACATCTAAAGGCCGAGCTGTGTGTTCGATCAAGAGAAGTGAAGTGGAATCGAATATTGTGGTTCAAAAATCTCTGCTGTAAGTTCCTTGAAACCCTTTCCTAGCCATTAAAGCTTCTTCAAGGTTCGTCGTTTTGCTCTTCTTCTTATTTGAATGCGTTTCAATCTGAAATAGGTTCCATTTTCTTCGTTCTTGATCGCTTTCTGTACTGTGAGTAAATACTGAGGGTGATGTTATGATTTTCGGGATGAGGCAGTAAACTGTGAAATAAATGTTAGAATTTGTTTTAAAAATGTATCATCTTGCTTGTGCTAAGTGAATGCTGTTAAAAAAACATGGAATTCTGTTAAAAATGTATCATTTGTGAATGCTGTTAAACATGGAATGCTTGTGCTAAGTGAATGCTGTTAAAAATGTATCATTTGTTTTAAAAGTGCCAATTTGAATGACATGGCAAAGGGACTTTTACAAGCACCATGGAATTTAGAACATTGATGATGTTTATGGAACTAATTTATATATTAATGTACTTGTTAGATTTAAGTCCCCGTTTAGCATTATTCTAATTTTTTTTTTTTTAAAAAAAACAGAGGTATTTTATTGAATAATTCTCAAAAATTACAAGAATCAAAAAACAGAAAAAACTATTACAGAATTCTGTTTGCAAAAACCAGACAAAGCAGTTAAAACATTTCCTGTACAGCTGCTGCATTTTCTGATCCTCAAAGCGCAATCTCTGGCCCTTTGATCAGAGCTCACAATCTCCCTCATCCTTGCAGTCCATAGAAACAGCTGCAGTACTTAGGTAGCAGTACTCATTTGAGCAGCTTGAACTATAACCAGCACCTGATACTCAGCTTCTGGCCCTTTGATCAATCACCAATTTTCTCATCCTTGCAGTTCGAATTCTGGACTGCTCCTGATGTAATAGAATTCTTCATGTGAAATTCTGGACTGGCCCTTTGATCAATCACCACTTTTACCAATGATAGAGTTTGGAAGTTTTTCATGTGAAATTTAAATATTGTAATGTTACACTGCTACAACCGAGCAGTGGGGGATTTAAGATTGCTTTGTTTTTTTTTTTTCTCATTCTTTTATTATATTCCCCTTCCTTTTTTGTTCTAAGAGTGAAGAGAGATGCCCTTTATATTAAATTGAGAAAAATCGTTTCTTCTTTTGTTATTTTCAATTATTTTTTGGTTGAATTTAAATGTTTTTTTTTATCTGAAATTTGATTCTTTGATTGATGTTTAATGAATGGATTGATGGTGGTTTTATGCTAAACCTAATTGAATTTTTGGGTTGTCTACTTCACTCACCACTTGTTTGAAAATATTATAGATGCAACGGTTTGTTTAAAGTTTTTGGTCCTCTGTTGATGGTCTATGTTTGTTTTAGAATGATGAGCATTTGTTGATGGTTTAAGAGCAAACAGAGCACTAAGCAAATTAAGTACCCATCACTTTTCCCCAGACTTTATTTCGTACTTGGTGGGTTTTTGGTTTTTGTGGGGGTGGGAGGTTCTTCCTCTATATTTCATTTTTTTTAAGAAAGAAAAGGAAGATTACGGGCAATTGTTTGTGATGAATTGATTCTTGATTCAATTTTTTTTATGTAGATTTGGTAGTGAAATGCTATGGCAAGTAAAAGTGATTGAACATGTTTAATGGTTTAACTTAATACTAGTTTATTACACTAAAATGTCCCAACACGTTAAGTTAACGGCTGGTTTTATTTCTATTACGAGATTGGTATTTGTTCTAGGAGATAGCATGGGTGTGGTGGTCATTTGAACACAGACATACATAGAGAAAAGTCATTCCCTTGGGTTGGACAATGCATTGTTGGGTTTTTTTGGTATCGGGGAATCATCCCAAACCACGTGTTACTTGGACTCATGGCTGCAAAAATCATGGATCCATAAAATAACCCGTAAACCACATGCGTCGATATTGTTTTTTATTTTGTTTCTAATATCAGTTAAAAGAACTTCTCATTGTTACAGTGAGCCTGCTAAGTAGGGGAAACTGGATTGCTGAGACTAATGGGAATTTGGATGATAGCTGATGCCTATTTCTCTATAAATTTAAATGATAAAAGTGGAAAAACAACCTAGTTGAGCCGATGAAATTAGTAATATTATCCGTGAACATATTGAACAATATAATAGAGACGTAAAGATTAGCATGAAGTAATTCATGCTTTTTATGGGATCGCAAATATTTGTAGTTCATCAGCAAGTTACTTGATAAAAATGGTCAAAAAAATAAAAATAAATAACAAATGAACCAGGCAGCCAACTGTATAAAGGGTCTTGCCATTGTGAAGCTAGGGAGGGGTAGATGTACGCTACATTTTCCTGCACAATATCAGAGAGATTATTTTTTCGACTCATTCGTCATGTCCGGGTCACAATGAACTATCTAGATCAGTGCGCTAAGCCTACCCTCAAGTTAATTGACAAATGAAAACTACAAACCGACTCATTCGTCATGTCCCATAGATTGGAATGACTGCAATCCATTGAATAGTTTTAGGACATGTTTTCAGCACGTGATGGGTCTATCAAGAGGTTTGAAAGGTTAACACTTACTTAAAGTTTGTCAGAGATTTCCTGCAACAGATTGAGATAGTGATCTTTTATATGATGAACCTGAAACAATTATAGGGTCAGAAAAGGGGTCAGGTGAATACCCGACTTATTCCATTCGAAACTTAAGTTAGTATCCAATTGAAGGCCTGAGCACAATGTGTAGTTTATTTCAGTTTAATCTTGCGTACTTTCGTTCATTTTTCTGAGAAGTATTTATATCTGGGTTAGCAATGAGTGTTATGGCTTTAAGTCTCATCTTTGCATTTATTGTCTGACACTCTTACTCATGCGTAATGAGTGTTCTCCAATCAAATCTTTGTATCTTTAATGCTAGGATGACAGGACGAGTGCTCGGGGTCATGCCGAGTACTTGTGGCTATCCCCGGGCACTCAAGTTTCTCTGATCGACGCCTAACATCTACTACTGAACGTTCAATACTCGGGATACATCGAGAAAGTATGTTCGGCGTAATAGCCATTAATGTCTAGTCATCATAATTGTAGGCTTAGGTCTTAAGGATGCAGAGGTTAATTAATGGCTCTGTCTCAGTCACTCACATCGTCATAAATGAGTGGTCAAGTCGTATTAAATGTGAGTGTCAATTCGTGTATTCGGCTCCTCTGAGCCACTACTCGGCTTCCTTTCTCGGTGCCTTTTCAATCTTATAACGACTGCGTTTTTACACATGTCGAATTGGGGACTGCTTAGCCGCCTAGAGTCCCGCCAACTGTCTCCCAACCTCCGTTCTTTTTGGCGATGTGAGACAAGTGGTGCAAGGAGAGTGGAGGATTACCGAACACGCTTAATTAATGGGGACGGTTACTCGCGAGTCTGGCAATCAATATGTGTCATTAAGAGACACATAATATAGGGACATGTCTGTTAATATTTAACAGACGTGTATTTTAGGTGAAGGATACCTCCAAAAGACATCCCCCTTTGGACATTCTTTAATTTGGTTCACCATGGGAGCCCTGGTTCGGGTCCATTACCCAACCAAAATCTAAAATCTCCCACTCGCACGTGGTGAGCACGACACTGTCATCTCTTTCAATTCATAATATACATCAACATCAATTCATACAGGCTAATGGGTCGTGCGACCGCTGAGCACACCTGCAATTTGGGAGCTCTACCTTTGAAACTCGACAGAGCCAGCATAGAGACATCAACCTTGAGAAAAAATGAAAATGGTGTCTCAAATACTCTAGACCCATTCGGATACACTGGTTCAAACATCTCTAATCTCTCTCAATATAAGAGCATGCATAACTCCTTGAAGCCTTCACCTATATATTCACACTTTGTCACTATCTAAACTAGCGCCCAAAGTTGTTGACAGTGAATATATCGCGGGATGTTCCAAATGGTCTTCCTTTCGCCCTTATGTCACTTAGTTCAAAATTAACCGTTTTCCCAGCAATGTCCCGGAAGGCCGAATCACTCATGGCCCTAAGTAACATGCCAAAGTAACTGAGCATTAATTCTTTCACTTTATGGCATAGTCAAAAGTCAAAGAGTACATAAAATGTTTGGTTAAACAAAATAACCTGGTCATGTAAAAATGACTCGGAGGGCTCACACAATAAGGAAGCAGAGATCCATTCCTTCACCTCCTTAATTGTCACAAAGCACATGTAGTATGGAATACATGCTACGGTGGGGTATCTCGATCCTAATGAGAGCGTATGTCATACTCAGACACCGTACAAATCTTAGTCTAGTCACTCTACAAACATCTAACCCAAGTTCTCTATTTGCTCGCCCTCCAAAGGTGTCAATTTAAGATCTTGCATCTGGATAATCAACAAACACAGACATAATGGACATGGAGTTGTGTCCATTATCGATCCTCAAATGTCAGATCTTATTCCGTATACAAAACAAAGTGATACTATACGATAGAGTATTTCATCTTTGCTCATCACATCAAGCGCCAAAGGCGGTTGCTCATGTGAGTGAGCCAATCACGCCCGTTGACATACTTAATGTGTGTGTTTTCTCAAA